CTAAATGCATACACTTTGCAATGATACCACTTACAGTTGACTGTGGAATATCTAGGAGGGAAGAAACGTCATGAACTGACTTGTTGCAATGGTGACATCCTATCACAGTAACAGCAGAACGACTTATTAGTTGTTTGTAAAGGCAAACTGCATGGCTACAGGCTTGATTTTATAAACCAGTGGCAAGGGGACTAAAACCACAGTGCGGCACAATGTATTAGTGTATATACAGATAGTTTAAACTTATTATGGTTTCTAAGTCATGAGTAAATGGACTGATTCTTATATAGCTCTTTTCTACTCTCCCAGAGTACTCAAAGGACTATATACAACATACCTCATTCACACCCACTCATACAAACACTTCTAAACTCACGAGCAAACTAACCAACATTCACACTCCGATGAACGCATCAGAAGGCAACTTGGGGTTAGTATCTTGCCTGAGGATAATTGGCATGCAGGCTGGGGAAGCCAAAGATCAAACCACCAACCTTCCAGTCAGTAATTGATCTGCTCAACCACCTGAGCCACAGCCACCTCAGTGTTTTCAGCCTGCACTCAAAAAAATAACTCTTTGAATGAACATAAAAAAATCATGGAAAGAATTTCCACGTAATTAAATTGCTGGGGGTTTTTTTTAGCATTATGCAATTCTGTTATTCCAAGTTAATGTGCTTGAGTTGGACTAACTTGATTAATTAATGATGAATCAACTGTTTTACTACAGTTGTGTCCAACTTATTTTAATTGATTTGATCCAACCCATGCAAATTACGTTAGTGCAACAAAACATGCTTATTCGTAATAGAAATCCATTTATGTTAAGTTCATTTAAAGAGTTATTTTTTTGGAGTGTTCAACAAGGTCTAGAGTCTGGTTAACATAAAATGTTAATGGATTTATAATAACTTGCACTCCATCCATCCTCTTATCTTTACCAGGGTTGCAGTGAGGCTGGGACCTATCCCAGATGTGACAGGGTGGGAGTCAGAATACTGGACAGGTCACCAGTCTATCACAGAGAGACAGACAACCATTTGCCCTCATGTTCACAGATATTTTAGAAACACCAATTAACTTCACCCTAATTACTGCATGACTTTAACTGTGGCAGGAAACCAGAGCACCCAGAGAGAACCCACTGCAAACTTGGCCAGATTGCAGATTTGAACCGAAGACCTTCTTGCTGCAAGGCAACAGTGCTAACCACTGTGCCACCGAGCTGTCAATCTAGACTTCAAAAAAATAGGGAAACTACGATTACAAGGCTTTATATAGAATTTTAAAAACCACAATAAATAGCTGAGGCATATACGTAGTGTATGTATGGCTGTCTGTCTCTTCTAACCCCAGTGATTTTCCTGTGGTTTGAACTCTAGTGTGATCTTGTGAATTTTGTGAATCCAGGCAACTAACCACTCTTACTAGATTGTATCATCAACAAGAATAAATTAAGTTGCTGGATTTCATGCAGATCCTACATGTTTTCATTACGTTCACCACAGAAACATGAAATTATTCTGTTCACATTACAAGTTTGAATTTTGTAAATTTAACAACCACCCAATTTCAATTTTTTGAGTGTGTACGAACAGCTGTATATTTTTTCCTGTGGCTCTAGAGATTGAATTCTAGCTTATGTCAGATAAATAATCCCTACAATAATATAGAGGATGTGTGCAGTCATGAAAGATGTATGCTGTAAAATGCAATCATGTGCCACAAAAGGCAGGAGAAAAGTCTAAACACCTTATCTGTAGATCTCATTTCATATCAAGCTTTGAGGGGCATGTGTTTTCATATTTGTAACTAAGTTCTTGAAAATCTGTTAAAAAACATGGATTATTATGGATTATATAGAGACCTCTGTAGCAACCATGGTTGTATCATGGGTAATTTAGGATCCAGTCTTATAGAAGGATTAAAGGTCAGTGTATAAGGGATACCTGCTGCTTCTATTTTGACTCTATACCAATGAGCTGCACTTTGTGTGACTGATTTACAATAAAAGCAAATCTGTTTTTGTAAAGGAGAGTCACACAGCAGCATTAGGAAGTGTTTGGATCAGCAGTCATTTCGAGAACAGAAAATGCACTGTGGTGGTCTGAGTCGAGGGGGAGAATGGTGAACCTTTCCACTAACAATGATTATTAAACAACAGAAACATTTACAGAGGCAAACTGTCACGAATATCTATTTTTTCCAAAATAATGCCAACATTAAAGCATAAAGACTGAGCTTTAACTTCATGAAAATGATCACAATTGCAATTTACAATAAAAAAAATGTCTTCTTCACTCTCAGGTATGGAAAGCGTTCAGCTCAGGAGGACGTGGTCGCAGAGCTGCTGTTTGGTGGCGATAACAACAGAGACCAGAGATCAAGGTAAAGATCCTCACATGTAAAAACTGAAGATGTCACATGAACTTAAAGAATTTACACTCTTCTCTCATTGGCACATTATTTCCTCTGTCTCTGTCTTTCAACAGATATGATGACTCTTACATGTGGTGATTCTCCTCCCTCCTCATCGGACATTCCCTCTGGGTACATCCCAGAATGCACCTGGAGGGGCTGACATGTGCCTCTTCTTCCCTGTACTCTAAACCCAACAAAAGAGCATCTCTGACGGATCACAACCTCCCTCTGTTTCTCCTGTTGTTGTTTCACATCTCTGTCACTCCAACAAAACTGTACATAATTTATTATTAAAATAAAATATATATGTATATGAAATCACAGAAGGTGGAACTGTGTCTGTCTGTGTGTGTGTGAGCTTTGGTGTCCTTCGACTGTCCATCAGACTGGAGGAGATTCTTGTTTTGCTGTTTGTATTGTGAAAAGTAACATCATAATATGTGAATCAAATGTTTTCTGTGAGATTAAAAGTTCCCAAGGACTCATGATCTTTTCTTTTGTGGCCTTTTATGTTCATTTATAACTCCGTATTTTAACTCTACCCTCTACTAGAGTAGCTTTGCCTGATTCAGAGCTCAACAGACTTCTCATTGATCTTATAGTGGGACTTGCCTCTCAACTGATCCTTTGTCTCCAATAAGGTATTTTAACTTCCTCCCCAAAAACATTTCTAAACTTAACTAACTAAGAGACTGCCAAAAATAATGGCTTTGTCCAAAAAATCAATGTATTGTGTTGAAGAGATATATTTAAAAGATAGTAGTAATCAGTATAGTGTCCATTCTGCACAGGCTCCAATTCATGGCAAGGGAAATGCTGCTGAATGCTTAGATATGGAGGAATAGGTGCTCTGCTGAATGAAACAGCAAAGAAGCACCAGCGCCAACTTTGGGAAAGAAACCACGTTTAGATTTATACAATAGGAGCAAATTGAGAATGTGCACTGAAGTCCGACTCCACATGCGCAGACAGCTCTTGGAGAGTAAAGGATGATTCTGGCGGTAAACTGACATTGTTTCTTCTACATCGGTAAGATCAAAGCTTTTAACGTTCGCTGTGTAGTGAAAAGAAGCTGCTAACAGCGCAGAAAAGCCCAAAGACTGTTTAACTCCAGAAAAGGTAAGATGACAACATTAGCCACGGCATCACCCAGATCTCAGGACAGATATTGTATTATTTGTTTTTTAAAGGAGTTGGCAACTACACTAACACTTTCTGGTAAAACACTGCCTCCTGGTGGTGAAACGTCGGGTTGCGTTTTGCAATATGTGAATACAAAAAATACCTTTCAGTCAGTTTTCTTCTGACATTTCTAAAAAATGGCAAGGATAGAGTAGCAAAATCAGGAAAATTGTTAAACACATAGCTTTAATCTTGAAAGTGTGATTTGCACATTACTCTGAACTCAGAAAATTTGAAACAATAGTTAATATAAAATAATGATATAAATAATACAGTATAAATATAAATAATTCGCAGCAACAGCAAACACAGCTCAGAAAATTAGGTTTAGCTTTATAATATAGTTATTGAACACAATCTCTATCTCTTACTCTTACTGTGTCACTTGCTCTGGGTGAGAAGAGATAATGCACTGAAAATGCAACTATATAGTGTTATATTTAAATAAAGACCGAGGTGCTTTCTGAGACATTTATAGCTGGTTTATACTGTCATGTTTTGTAATCTGTAATACTGAAATGTTTCTGGCAATTGAATAGTCCTGGTGGAACTGAGTCAAACTGCAATGTGTGTGTGGGTTTAATTGTTCTTGGACAACAAAAGATCATTATGGTGTGGATGAATAAGATGCATCAATGTGTCACAGGATATGCTGACAGTAACAAAATATCAAGCTTAAATGAAAGTTATCAGGTTATATGCTTAGGGAAACATACAGGGTTAATATGCAATGCACAAAAGATAGAGGGTTTACTGTGGGGACAGAAGATTTAGGAGTATTGAGCTAAAACACACAAACAAAAACAGCTGCAGTAATGGTAATTTCCTCAGAGACCAGATCTTATTTTATTGTTGAATTTGAAGCAAAAGGAAGGAAGAATTAATCCCAGAGCACAGTCATGCTGAAGGCAAAGATGGCCTAATAATACCAGGGAGAAAACCAACATCACATTGTCAAAGGTATCATTCTCACTGGTATCATTATGTTTCTTTTTATGTATTTTATTTGAGTATTTCTAGGACAAACTGTGATGGAAAAAACAAAAGCTCTCACATTTACACATCCTTCTCATAGCTCGTGTATTAATTATAACAATAGAAAAAAATGTGAAAGCAAAACAAGCACTGGCCCTTTAATGCAACTCTACGTAAAGCACCGGGAATATGGTCAATTCAACCGGAAGTCTCTTGATTCTAAGCGTTAAAGTATTTCATTCCCATCCCGCTTCTTGTTTACCTGCATGCTTTATAATTTTTATTTCAGTGGCAACTCTTACTTTTATATAAATATAAAAATATAATGCTTTAATAATTCAATTTTATTGTCGCTTTAGTCGCTAAATGCCCTTTATTCTGAAGTTTTCTCGGAAGTTGTGTATTTTTCTGCCTCTTCCAGTCACAGAAGGAACCGAGAAACCAGACGACAACAAAAAGCGCACGAGACATCACAGACGGCAGGAAGCGTCTCTTGTTGTGTTTAAAGGTGGGTGAGTTTGTTTTTATGTGTCGCAAATATCATTTTATTAACAGACGACGTCTTATCATTAAAGTATCCTAATGAAAGGGTTGTTTATTTTAGCGAGCAGATACACTAAAGCTAGGTTGACAAAGGTGCGCGCGTGTGCGCGCGGTTCTCTCAGTGTATTTAAATAACCGCGCGCCACTAGCGCTACATTTCATTTGTGATGTTTGGTTAGCATCTTCCTTTGTCAGACAGGCTATCTGCATGTCTTTCTGTCCCCCTCTCCTTTTGTGTTTGTGTGTGTGGTGCTTTGTTATGTATGACTCCTGAGATTAATTAGTAGACTTCTCTGCTTGCACTGGTGTATTTGCACCTGTGTCGTTTATTGTGTGTTTGCTGAGGGATTCATTGGTTATGTTAATCATAGTGTAGTTAGGCTACCAGTTAAACTGTTTTAAGACTTAGAGTCACACTCACCCTGAAAATTTTATGACAGTTTGTCAAGCTAGACTCATCTGTCCTAATACTTGCCAAATATAGCTTTTTAAAATTGTTTAGTAAAGCCTTTGTCATAATATTAAATACCATAAACCTCTTAAAGTTTTTTCTTTTCTATTATGTATTCTAACAATTCAATAACAATTCTGAGTAATTCTCTTGCTGTTTAAGTTTAGTAACTGACATGATTTGTGTGTTTGTTATGATCTCAGAGACTCAAAATAATAATAATGATTAGAAACAATAATCACACTACATTTGTCATCAGTTAAGTTGTAGTCCAGCTATTATATTTGCTTGGTTGGGATTTTCCTTTTGAAATAGTAAAACAGTACAAAAGAAAATGAGGATAAAACAGCACTTTAGCTCAAGTCTAAGGAATAAATCGTTTGAAATAGCCAGCTTTACTAAATACAGGATAACGACACAGTTTAAACCATGTTGGCATGTAGTACAGCACACAGCCAAACAGCTTTTGCCGGCATGTGCTTTCTACAATTGTTTCTTTACATACAGCAGGCCTGTCCTGGTGCAGTTAAGCAGATGGATGATGGTGGGGGGTGGATGGAGGAGGGGCAGGGATGTTGCATAAATAAGGGAGTAATAGAGAGGAGAGGATGGGAGAAAGGTAAGAAGGAGGGGAACATCATTAAGGGGATCTGCAAGCAAGAAAAAAGGATTAAAAAAGCAGAGGGGAGTGAGACAGCAGGACAGTGTGCAGAGCTGAGGAAGCTGTGAGGGAAAGAAGTGTTAAAAAAAAGTGACGATGAAGCAGGAGGAGGAGGAGGGGTGTTTGTTGGAACGTGTGAGGAAGCAGAAAGCAAATGGACTTCACAGCATTTTAAACACAGTCATTAATGTGTCTGTGTTGGGCTGTTATTGTAGTTGACATGTACAGTAGCTGAGCTGAACTTCATCCACATAGAATGAGTCCACGTCCTCATCAGTAATATCAACAAAAGTATTGTACTCTCATACTCATTGTCATACAGCTCAGTGAAGTTACGCTGCTACTCACGATGTGCATTTATTTGATGAGTCATACATACACAGTGTGAGTTCAGTTCAGCTGCACCGTCAGTGGTTTGCAACATCTGTTTTTTGTTTTTTTCACACTGAGGATATATATACACACACACACACACACACATATTCTGCTCTAAAACGGAGTAAACTAGGTGACTCATAACCAAAATAATTTAGCTGGATAAATGGTACTACAGACTGGAGTAAAATGTAAATATGATTTGGGGGTGCCCCTTTTAAGAGCAGTGGGCAGCCAGTAGGCTGGTCCCTTGGTCAGGGGAATTAACCTGACATGTTTTCAGTTTGGGAAGAAACTGGAGCTACTGGAGGAAACTGGAAGAACAGATTGAAAAAAGAAGGCGCGGGTTTGAACTTTAAGAAGTTTCACTGTGAGACAACAGTGCTAAGCACCGAAGCATCTTATGCTCAGTCAGTTTCTCTCTTTTATGGTGTTTATTATTATTCAGTCTTGCTGTCACAAGTCTAGACCCAAACAGGTCAGGGTAGTATCCAAGATTAAAATCTTGTAATGTTTTCTTTCACATTTGTTGTCATCAGCTTGGATAAAATGTGCATCAAAGCTGGATGATGGTGTGAATCTCATCTTTCAGACATTATACTTTACATCCAGTCCATCCCGTTCCACACGTCTCACTCTTACAGCTTCTCCTTTTACGTCATCCACTTTTGCCTGAGGTGTTGTGTAATGCCTACTCTAGTATAAACAGCAGGGTGTGTGTGTGAAGGCAAAACTGAGGGAAGATGGGTTTCCATGGCAGCCACAAACTGCAACAGCAGCTTGTCATAGCAACAAGCATAGATAAATGCATAGATAGATAGAAAGCATTAAAGGGGATGTGTGCCTCTTTGTTCCCTTCTCACTTTCTCCGTATTGCCATTGTATTGTGTGTGCTGTCGTGGCAGTGTATAGATTAGTCACACCCACATGCCCCCCCTCCCCTTTTGCCATGCATGTTCATTTCCAGAACAATCAGTGGAGCTCCACCCTCAGTCGCTGACATCACTGCACACTGTGTTTGTCGTGCGGGGAGGGGGTTCAAAAACACCCGCAAACATTCCCACGTGCACCAACTGAGCAGTGCAGTTTTATCTCATGCTAATTTATAGCACACACTGAACCCAGTCATCAGTTATTATCACGCGGTTGTTACTCTCAGTCAGCAGGATGGCAGCATAAGTCTCGACAGAAAAGGATGATTAAAATGTTTAACATGAATATTTTGGACTGCTGAATCTGCTTTTTTAAATCATGCCATAAAAATATTTACTAAAATGTCAGAACTGAACAGAAAAACATGTTAAAGCCCAGATTTGGTTCTTCATATATCTGTGATAACTGACAACTCTCCAATTTTTTGGTCTCATGTCCACTTCTGTCAGATGATCACTAAAAAACTCAGAGCTGTAGTGCATGTGTGATATATCAGCTCAGCTATTTAGCTTCAGGCCTAAATGGACAAATAGCTACCCTGGCTGTAGTGTTTATGTTTCTATGCCAGTACATTACTTGCAATTGTGCTCTCCCCTTTTTCTTCTTCCTGCAGCAATTTATAGGAGTAATAAAGCCTGGTAAAATCATATAAGCTCAAAAGCTGTTTTTAAAAAATGTGTATTACTGAGGCTGTAGTGGTGTACTGCACTGCATGTAAAAGTGTTGCAGTGGGTATATATTAAGAGTGTTAACTTGTCCAATTGGTTCCAATCTTGAGGCTTTAATTCATGTGAAAGTGTTTATCTTTGTATTGCAAGTTGCCCAGTGAGTTTAAAAGCAGGTGGTTTGCACGGCATGAATAGAGGACATCATTCATTTGTACTAAATCATCCCCATCTGAATGTAGCAGCAAAGGAAACAAGCTTTTTTTAAAATGTTGGTGTTCATTGAACGTCTTTATCATTATTGTCAGTGTCTTATTTTCAGACCTGCACTTACATTTATTTTGTTGCTCATTCTTTCCTCTTTTTCTTTCTGTCCTTCTCAGATTTACTGCAGCTCTACCATGCCCGTGGCCTCCACCAGGACAGAGCCTGGTGAGACCAGACACTATACTCCACATCAGCTTAGCATCGCCACATGATTGTTTTTTTCTGTTTTCTTTATTCACAGCTCTCTCCTAAAATCCAGCTTCACAAAAGATTAAAAAACAGGAATATGAGAATGTGTTACTAATCTGAAAAATGGTGGTATTTGCTCTTTGTAAGCTAATTAATGATAACAGATGTTTTAGAGTTACAGCTACACTGTAGAATATCCTCCAGGAAACGACTGATGCCCCCAAATACCAATAATTATGATAGCACTGTAGTATATATAGTTTATATGATGCTGGTTTGCTTACACCTGTGGCCTTTGATTACATCTGGTAATATCAAATTCAATAATATGAAAATACTAAAATAACTAAAAATGAAAAAATTACATAATTGCTGTTTTATCCTCATTGTTACATTGTAGCATACTTCCCTTGAATATGACTAAATATAGACATTCTTAAATTCACTGCAGTTTTGTACATAACAGCACTGCTGTAGGCTGTATTTATGAGTCATAATCTAGTTTTCTTTCATTTTAAATTTCAACTTTAAACTTTAACCTTAAGGCAGCATTCCGGCTAACAAGCTGTGCTGGCAAGTTGAAATTTTCTCAAACTTCCAAAGCAAAGCAAAGCAATACATGTACAGTTCATTTCTCTAGCACATGATTTTAGCCAATTTTCCTGCAGCTTTCTGTTTTCTTCTCTTTGTTCAGTGTTGTCGTTCCTAAAGCCAAAAATGCATCCAAACAACAGACCGTGTGCCACCACACTCGGTAGTATGTTTTAAAGGAGACAGTACACACTGGGGGGAGTATTAACCAAATTTAAAGACAAAAAATGTCAATTTGAGGTCCTGAATGTCGGTTTTGAATGATTTGTCAGCCCTACAGTATCCCCTACCTGACACAACACACAGTCTGCAGCTTTTTTAACCCATGCCATTAGATTAATATGGAGTTATAAACTCATACTCACGTAAGTATCTATTTTTGAAACTAAAAGGATGTTGAATTCCAATGAGGAATTTCCCTATAATGAGCAGAATTCAGACAGTTACATCACAGCTTTGTTAAAACCAGGAAGCCAGGTGCTTGTTTAAAGCAGAGTTACAACTATAGACACAAGCTCTGTGTCATTTGTTACTGTCTCATTTACCATGTTTCCCTTACTTAATGTTGTTCTTCCCTTCACTGTGTGTGTGTGTGTGTGTGTGTGTGTGTCACAGTGCCCCAAGTGTTGGACGCAATGAGCGACAGCACGGCCAGCTCCACCACAGCCAATGACCTGGACCTCATTTACCTCAAAGGCATCATGGAAAGCCCTCTGGTACGCTTCACACAGATGCACTCGTGCACACACATATTTTAAATTCAATAAATTTTGCTGCGCTTCTGTCATTCATACTTGTAAAGGCACTTGCAGCATGCTCTCGTCTTTGTAACCGTGTTTGTATTTGTGTGTAAGGAGCAAGAGGAGAGCCTGAAGGAGCCACGGTTGTCACCCGTGAGGGAGAATAATGTGGAGCTCCTGCAGGAGATCCTGAGAGACCTGGACCCATTCACCAATCGTTCTGACACCGCAGCAGAGCTTGCTCGCATTCTCACGCAGCCTCACTTCCAGGTGTGGAACACACAAAGACACACACACAGTGTCTCCCACTTTGTGTTTTCACTGTATTCCAGTCACAGAGGTGGTTAATTGAAGGAAAATGAATATTTCATGCATGATATTTTGTGCCTCAGTCTCTGCTGGAGACACATGATTCAGTGGCAGCTCAAGCATGTGAAAGTCCACCTCCCAGCCCATGTGACTTTGTGGATCATGAACCAGAAGACAGCCAAGCACACAACCACCTTCCACCTGATGCCATCCGCATGGTGGGCATACGCAAAATAGCCGGGGAGCATCTGGTAGGTTATTAGATTTTGGACTGTTTGCACCTTTTGTGTTTCCCATGTAAAAACATTCAGTTTGTGAAATAATAAATGCTTGTGTGGGTTGTATACTGGTGCCATTTGGGTGTTGGATGCAGATTTTTATTAGTG